AAAGTTAACACAAACTAATACTTTAATTTTTTACGTATTTTGTTATTAAATTTGGGATGATTTCTTATACAACAACCTGTAAAGGGAATATTTATTTCAGTTACCGGTAATCAAATGCACCGATCATTAAATTACATCGCCATTTCACTTGACCTATATATTTATCACCTAACCGATGAATTCTTAAATCTACTAAATCAAAATTAAGTTTAAAAAAATAGAAATAATGGAATCTGAAGCGAGAACATATTCTCATTTTTAATTTAAAATTTATAAGATTAAACAAGAGATTCAAACACGCCGGAAAGTAAAAGGTGTAAACAACTTGCGTCTTCTTCTTCTTTTTTGCATACTTCTATATTTCATTTCAAGATACTTTTGCCAAAGGTAAAATTCAGATCTCTGACGTTCTGATAGTGCATTATCACCTTTCCGTAGAGTTTTATCAAATGGAATTAATGAGGACGCATCTTCAAGAAAATATGATTACACTTTACTAAATCAGTTTTTGTTTATATTTTGTCTTTAATGATGCATGGAGTATGTTTTTCTAAAATGTTTGGCGTTTAAGGTAGCACAATACAAAGATTTTGTCACCCCCAATCAGACAACTTTAAACTGATGTAATTTCTTTCATCCAGCTTTACATTTTATAAATGAGGTACAAAAAGAAAGAAAAAAGATTAATCTTTTCAATGGTGAAAACGTCAATTTGACATAATTATTACATTATTAATTATTATGTAATTAGTTGCTATATTGAGATGTCCACACTTGAATGAAATTAGCTTCTTTGTTATTCATAGCATCCCAAAGTATTTAAAAGATTCTTGTATAACACAGTTTGACCTCCAAAAGGGTGTCTCAGATTTTTCTAATTGTATTTCATTCTCTCATAAAACTTCAATGAAATTTGCAATCTAAATTCATAAGAGATCATTAAATTTAATTGGGTATAACATTTGTTCTATTGATGTTTTTGGAAATCTGAGACACTCTTTTGAAGATAACTGGTCAAGGAACAACATGTGTGGAAATCAGACATATAGGGGCACCCATCTAGGAGCTAAATTAATTTAAAACTACATTTTCTTGACAAAATTGAATGTGTCACAATTGAATAAATAAGGATTTTCCTACTTGTACCCCATTAACTTCAATATAATTCACACATTTACCATTGGGATATTTCAGGATTGGCCTTCAATCATAAATCAATTAGGTTTTGACCAGTAAGAAAGCATTCAATTTCAGCAATTCTAAATATATAGAGAAAATGCACACCCTATGCATAAAAAACCAGATCTGGCGGGAGATGTTATATTATTATTGACCTTGTTGTAAGTCAGTTGCTACTGATATGGTCAAAACTCCGCCCACCATGATAAACCTTTACTACTAATGATCTCAGAAGTTTAATTACACATTGCATTTACTTTTTTCAATATGGATTTTATTCATTTAGTACATAACATAATATATTTTGTTTTTTAATTGTTACAAAAAGTTAGTTATGCATGTGTACACAAAATAATCAGTTGGTCAGTTTAGAGGATCCTTATGGGGGATTTTAGAATTGTAATTGTATACAAGGACAATATGGTGTTTTACACAAAGTAGATTTTTTTCAATTTTGCAGTTTGAAAATGAAATATTTAATTTATATTTTCTTTTAAAAAGAATTCATATTTAAATATTCTCCCCCAAGAAATTCTAGTACATTAATTGTTATACAATTACATTTGTTTAATTTCTGTACATTTATATTTTGATTCCCTCTATATCCCCAAATTGTTATTTTGTTTTTTTTTCTCCTGGCAGCTCCATTAATGAAATGTATTTTTATTTAGAATTCATTATCTTCATGTTTCCATAAATCCCTAATCCACCTCTTTTTCGTAACTGTTATTTGTATTGCTGGTCAGTGGTCATAAAGCTATCAAATGATTCTATTGATTAACCACAAAGTACTGCCCACATGTTCTTATCTTGTATCAGTCAGACACGTGCATTTGTTTATAAAACTAATTATCATCAAAACTCATTAACAGTGCAAGATATGTGAATAAATTTTTCTTCTGTGGTTTTGGAATATTAAGAAGTAACAAAAACAGCTGAAAATGAAATTTTGATAAAATTTTGTTGCTTTTGTATTGTGCTACCTTAACTTATACAAATACGTATTAAAAACAGACATGAACGGAATATTTGCTTGAAGTTTTGTTAAGTAGGATGATAATTTTAGTTTTGCGATCAACTTATGATAGCAAAGGGATATTATATTTACTGGTCTGTGCATTCGTCTGTTCTTCCGTTCTGTTAAAAATATAAAACCTTTTAAATTCTGTACCAAATTAGAGTTAAACCGGATTAATTGGCACACTGACCATGGGCATATGGTCATGTGAAAGGCACAGAGTCTTAAAGCCACACATTCTTGTTGCAAATGTTTCAATTAATACACGAACATGTATATACTAAACCCCTAACGGGAAGGATTGTGCCTGATATTCATATGATGAAGACATATTCTTTCAATCAGTTTAATTGAAGTCTGGAGCTGGCATGTCACTTAACTGCTAGTAGTCTGTTGTTATTTATGTATTATTGTCATTTTGTTTATTTTCTTTGGTTACATCTTCTGACATCAGACTCGGACTTCTCTTGAACTGAATTTTAATGTGCGTATTGTTATGCGTTTACTTTTCTACATTGGCTAGAGGTATAGGGGGAGGGTTGAGATCTCATAAACATGTTTAACCCCGCCGCATTTTTGCGCCTGTCCCAAGTCAGGAGCCTCTAGCCTTTGTTAGTCTTGTATTATTTTTAATTTTAGTTTCTTGTGTACAATTTGGAGTTTAGTATGGCGTTCATTATCACTGAACTAGTATATATATTTGTTTAGGGGCCAGCTGAAGGACGCCTCCGGGTGCGGGAATTTCTCGCTGCATTGAAGACCTGTTGGTGACCTTCTGCTGTTGTCTGTTCTATGGTCGGGTTGTTATCTCTTTGACACATTCCCCATTTCCATTCTCAATTTTATATGTATCTTCCATACTCATATTTGTCTCTTTTGTCGCGCGCTCACCTCTAAGGTATTAAACCCCTCAATGGTGATCGAGGCAATAGAAATATGGTCCGATCGGCAGTTTAACCATTGTAAAAGTGGGGAGTCCGTTTGATTGTTCCGGATGTACAAATACGCAGTCCCGTCAGGTCTCAGTGGGACGTTGAATCAGATGCATCTTGTAGAGAGAATGCCAAGCTCTCTGCACGTTATTTATGCATGAAATATTTGCCACTGGACGTTAAACAACCTATGATCAATCAATCGACAGTAGCGTTACATGAATTCACTGGCAAAATTATCCTGTCTATGAAAAATATAGATATCTGCCACTTCATCCTGAAATAACATTTCTAGTGCGCATTTAATCAATATATGTCAATGAAACTGCTGGTTAAAGGTTTAATTCTCAGTATTCAGGTCCTGATCAAAACAAAAATAATTGACAGAATTATATGTATGGCCTCCTCTATAACACGTATAATGCTTTTATACAGATTTGGGGATATTAAGTATAAGATACACTTTATATATGTCTTTTAACTTTATACGTTTATATTTTGTCACAATGTACGGAAGATAATAACTGGGTGAACTATGAAGTCTTGCTAATATATTCCAAGGTAGAAGAATACTACATAAAATGTAGGAGTGCCAAGTGTCTGTTGAAAACTTTGTCCACCAAAAGTAACAAGTTCGTTTAAAAAAAATCAAGCGTCATATCAGTTTCACAGTTATGACCTCTTGTTTGAATCATTTTTTTGCGTGGTAAACTTTGTCTTTTACTTTAAAAAAAATATATTTGCATCTACCTTGTTCATTTTATGAAAGAAAGTTTTCAAGACGTAAATAATGAGGAATGAGGGAGCAAAGAATCAAGCAGTCAACGTTAACGTTTTGAACAGTCGTCACTCAGTATACTTTATACTTTGATCTATATGGTATATAATTCTCTTTATCTCTCTGTTTTTATGGTAAAAAATTTGGTGAGGCTGTTGCCTCATTGCGTCAATCAAAGCTACACCACTGCTCCAGTGCGGGAAGTCTTGGGCTCGATCCTCGACCGTTTCAAATCAAAGATTGGCTACTTTTCTGCCAAGCAAGCAATATTTAGGAGTAAGAGCAAAGATTGGTCGGTTTGGGGTCAAAATTATATGTCCGAGTAGGATGACATGTCTTCTTGCGATATAATACAAAGTCTTGTTAATATTCATCTTCTCATCCTGAATATGGATATGTAAAATACATATGCAACGAACCTTATATATATGATTAAACAGATAGGAAAATATGTTTAATTTTATGGAAAAGAAGGTTGAAGATTATACGTTCTCGAACTCCAGCCAATATGATAACGATCCAATTTTCGGTTGCACTTTTATGTATGTATAAAAGAAAAGAAGACTGCTTCTGTTCAGGTTTTTGGAAAGCCTATTCGAGTTCAATACACTTTCAAAAATGAAATATTAAAACTCTTAGTTTTCAATAACTTAATCTATATGAACTCTGGCATGATTTTTGCTTTTGCAATTAAAAAAGCTATTTATATGGTAATATGGTAAATATATGTATTAACAAAGAAATTAAAGTAAATGAAGTGATTATAAATTGACCGAGACAGCAACTGGTCAGACGTTCGATCCATAATTATCGACAAGACTTGCATTGTAAGCCAAAATAATCGGTTATGGGTCTTTAATTTGTATTTTCACGAAAAGCATAACTAGTGACAATTAGATGACTGTGGTCATAAACCTTTCAGTACCTCTACCTCTGTAAGCGTTTTGATAAGTGCAAGAATAAACGTTGCTTTTATGAAGATTTTAGCTTTTAACATATTTACTTTGATTCAATCTTAAAATAATTTTTAGTTTAATTTGTGATGCTTTGTTATTGTATGTTTTTGTCTATTTCTTTTTCTTTTCTTCAGAACAAACAGTTTAACTTTCAAGTGAATTCTGTAAACAATCATACAATTTATCTGGAGGTCAAATTGATATACACTTTTGAAAGCGAAATTGTATGTGACCTGGAACCAAATGTAGTGTGCCATTTGATTGGTGATTATCCTATACATATCGAAAAATTCAAGCCATGCAAAAGTATGTCGTTCACGTAATATTTATATTATAATGTTATTAGTTCATATTGATCCTGTATTCATACAGTCGTGTTTATCCTCTGTCATCTTTTAGTGGTTATTTTAAGTCTTTGGTAAAATGGGTGTTTTCATGTTAATCCTGTATTATGTTCAAGTACAGTCGCATTGTATAGCCGTTACTTTACTGTCTGTAAGCGTAGCTGGGGGCCATTAAAGCTGATCGAGACCGACAAATTTGATTTTCAGACGCGTTATAGTCTAAATAGTGATGACGTCTTGAAATGCTATTTTATTTGTATTGCTGTGATACCTTCCTGTCTCAGGAAGGCGTTACAACAAAAGAATAAAATAGCCTTTTAAGACGTCATTATAAGTTATATGGTTTGCTTTTGACCCCTATGGATCGATAGAGGGTCAGTAAAATCCATAGTGGGTAAGGCCGAACGTTTTTATTTTGTCAATTTGTTAGTAGAGTAAGACATGTACATGATTCTCTTCATTAAAATAAGAATATGTCGAATGACTGCCAATGAAACTACTGTAACTTCAAACTTGTTGAGGTCTTATATTTCGCGTTATACACACATCCATTTCTGACATCTATTCGAACCAAAACAGGAAGTTACAATCCTGTATTAAGACCAGTAAAATTACGTTTTAACAGTGTTTTCTGTATTAATCTGTATTAACGAGCAGTTAATTCACTGTATTTACTTGACAATTTTTAATATATTTTATTTGCAAGTCAGTGATTGATAAAGTGTGTTATTCATTGTCACACAAAAATTTTTTTTTTTTAAAGAATAATCTCGTTTTTGCTAAACTAAACGTACTATTATAAAAGCACACAGATATCCGTACACTTAAGTAAATAATATAAAAAAAGGAGACGTATTATGATTGGCAATGAGACAACTATCCAACAAAGTCTAAATTAGATTAGTTTAAGCATTTATACAACACCGTAGTAAGACCTTCAAGTATAAGCAAAATCAATACCGTACAGTCATTTGTAAAATTTCCCGACATATCAAATGATGTTTAGATAAAAAAAAAACAATCTTGGTACATCGTTATTGTTATTGCTTGAATTATCAAATTAATCATGTTAATAGTATTATATATTTTCAATAAACATGAAATGTATTGGGTTTTACAGGTAGAGTTGTAAAACAGAAAAAAACACTGTTAGTTTTACATAAACAAGTAATGAGTTTGACTGTATGGTTATAAATTATTTATTATTGCTGAAGACAAACATGATGAAATTGGATCACTTTAAATAGATTGTTCATTTGCTTTCATCTTATTGAATTAGGAAATAAATTTACTTAGTGATAAGGATTTTGATTAAACATTATTGTGTGTCTATATAAAGGTTATCTATTTTTAGTGAATTGGTATCCAGTTCCGGATCATTTTTATTACTTTGTAACCCTCCGCGGCTATTTATTAGAAAAGAATATTTGCATCTCCTACGTTCTGTTGTTCACACACACAGACATTCGGAAACCGACTTCACTTCCTGTTTAAGAGAATATCTTCATTCCCGACTTCTCCATGTTCAAACAAAATGTATTTCTGCATCCTTGCCTCTTTTTTTAATTACAAGGAATGTCTAACTCGAATCCTCTTCTGTGTTCTTACAAAAAAATTCTACGCTGCCACCTCATTTCTATTCAACTAATAGAAAGTGAAAATAAATGCATCTTAAAATCCTCCCTTTTCAATTCGGACAACATTTTTACTTACATCCCCATTGTCCGTTCAAACAGAAAGTGCTGTTTGCATCGCTAAATTATACCGTCTCCTTATCTGAATGCTTCTTTAATCTTTGTTCTTTAATTCTCATGGGATAGTCTAGAAAGTTGAATATAAGTATATATTTTTCAGCTGCATATGGTGTTGTGTCAAGCTTATTAACTACTAAAATGTTGTGTGTGATTCCTATTTTTAATTATCTTATATTCTTAGTTTCTTTGAAAAAATGATTAAAGGTATTGGGCATTTCGTTTACTAATTGTGATATCCAATTACAATTATAGTAAAATGGTATTAAACATGGTTTAACACCATCACAATGAACACATCGCGTTTGAAGGTGGACGTGTTTTGTAACTGTTATTCATATACTAATGAAAAAAAAAGGAAAACAAAGTTATTTGTCTGTGTAAATAACCGACATTGCAATAAATCATGCACAGTAATACACGAGAGGTTTATGCAAATGATAATTTTCTCTTCAAATTTTGACACTATCATTCCAAATAAATCTTACTTTGTTTTCAATTTCGTCTTAAACACTTTGTAGAGAAGAATGTAAACTTAGTGGTTGTATTAGTTCCATTATTCAGCATATGTTTGTTGATATCACTTGTGGTTTGTGTAGTAATATGTATAAGACGAAGAATACATTCAAAGGTATACATAATAGTATATGTACTTGGTTATTCGTAAAGTGAAAAAGTCGCTAAGGTTTAGACTTGCATTGGAATTCTTGGAAATTTTTACTTATATGAACTAACTATAACAGAAAATTCACATGCGTTTTGACCAGAGCAAATTATGATTAAAAAGTACATTAAGTATATAAAGGAATATTTCCTTTTTATCAGTAAAAAATAACTTGCGTCGAAAACCGCCACTTATCATCAAACAAAGAAGGATACTGCTAGATACGGAAATGAGTTAAGAACATAAACAGCACTTATTTGTTTTAAATTCTTCATAATATCTTAATAAATGCAATTTAAAAAGCTAATTGTATGCGTGGATAATACCCATATTGAAATTCAGTACATGTCTTTTTGTATTTTCAGAAAACACCAGAAAGGAAATATCAAGAAGTTAATCAAAATTCCCAAAACAACAGTTAGTAAAATGAACAGCTGTTGATAAAGGAATATGAACAAGTTAGTAATACCGTTTGAAAATGTCAGTCCTTTTTAATTTAATGTTGGGGTTTGCATTTGTATTGATTCGTTTAACAAACCCATTAATCATTCAATTACTAAGAAATTCATCAACCTATTATATAATTTTGTTTGCCAGTAAATGGAATGGTCTAGCATTTTAATTGATCATTACAATCTGGTCTTTGCTGAAGATTTGAATGGCTCATTTTATTGGTAAACAGTTATTTGATTGCATGTTTTATCCATTTTCTATTCCATTAAACCAGAACTAATTAGCTTTATTACAAATAAACTTGTGCGACTATATGGTATAGAACATATATCGTACATTGTCGGATAACACCAAATTTATGTATACGTGTTTTAGATGATAAACACGATAAGCTTCGAGTACGAATGTGTTTAATATTTTCCGACTACGTTCTCTTTGTTTGTGTGTTTATACTGTATTACTATTGGTAGTAAAATTTAGTAATTATACCTAAAATTCTAGAGCGAAAGCAGCACTGTTTTAGCGCGGAACAGGAAGAACAAACCATAAACATAAATAGTCCCTCAACATGTTACTCTACGCTTACAACAAATAAATGTAACCAGGATATTTTATACATGTATACCCTATTTGATATCAAGCATAATTGACAAATACAAAAATTCATCATTATACGTAATATTCATTTAATTAACATGACTTTTTGAAAACGATCATGTGTTTGCTCCGTAAAATATTTATATTTAAATGCATGATTTTATTTCAGATATCGAAAGAAACGAAAGAAATAGTAGTTGGAACTAAAAAAAAAGTCAGATTATGAAATATTGATAACAATTGCATTATGTGTACGTACTGTGATGCAAAAGGCATACTAGTAGCTCAGTATTTCAATATTACCATTTCTACATAAAACATTAGAGGGAAATTGAATTGTATACCTTTACTGCATATATGTAGAAGAAGGTCAAAATTTAAAGTAAATTACAGTTCCGAAATGATGTAAACTTACCACTTAGACCATATTAAAGTAAGCAGATGAGACAACTCTCCGTCAATTGAAATATAATTTAACACCTATATGTCACCGTACGGCCTTCAACAATGGACAAAACCATTATTCTATGAACCAACATCATTACCCCATTTCACTATACACAAATATACCTTAAAGCATTACATCGTACATCATTCTCATTTTCCTTTGAATCATACACGATTTGCATCATTCAACATTATTAATAATGTAACAAGTTTAAGGGAATTGCAAATGTCAATATCTATTTATATTTATAAGAACGAACTAGAATTAAAAAACCCTTCACCGAATATTATGCACCAAACTCTATTCCCCATGTATAATACAACATTCGCCTTTGTACCAATCACCAAACACCATTACACCATACACTTTCTTTAGGAAGGCTACATCATTCAAAGGCTGTATATGATATTACTTGATATATTGATATACTGTATACGGTATTACTTGTACATATATATTGTATATATATATTTCTCATCATAACATTATATTTGATGAGTTTTTACAAAATAATATGCAATCAAAATATAACGCATTACGATAGTTTGTTTCCACTTTATACTCGTACTTGTCATAGTTTCTATATGGTGATCCTCTTAAGCATGTATGATTGGTTACGTGGATTGCATTCATTATTGATGAAGATATATTTTCTTGATAATTTTTATATAGACCTCATCAAATAATAATTATTATAACAAGGCAGCTGTATTGCTTAAATACATATCTAATGATTGTTATTATTTGTTATATAAACAAAAATCGGTGCATTTGATATTGAGCAACAGGTTAACATGTACCAAAGTATATAATGTTACAAGGCATTTTTACAAAATAATATGCATTTGATTATTGTAAAAATATGATTTCTCATGTATATCTAATGTATATTTTGTAAGATTTATTAAAGTTTAAATGTTTTTAAAGAAGAATTTTTACCCGAACTGTCTTTCAATACTATGAAATGGCAAATGTGTTATCAATTCATAGGTTTATGTACATTTCTTATCACCAATCTTGATAACTGACAATTCTTTATTCAAATAATTCGGAAATTTGTTTCAGTTAAAGTTGTTTTTAAATGCAGTAAGAGACCGACCAGTGTATTATCTGTCATAAAATAAATATTCAGTTCTGGTAAGAACTGAGAGTTGCTTTAAAAATTAGAAAAAAAAATTTACCTCAAAATTTGCAAGGAATACATGTGTTCAAACGTGACAATAGATGTTCTCGCTGCAACAAAACACTTTAAAAAACTAGACTTGCAAACTTTGATAATTAATAGTCCTTCAGAAAAACTATCCTGTCCCCTCCAGAATGTAAAATGGTCGTCCACTAATAACCTCTTGTAATATAACAGAACAAAACAGTTTAAATCATAATTTTCAAACACACATCTAATAATGAAAATCTGGTGCTTTAGACATTTTGTATTGTTATGTATTTGTATTTGTATTTGTAATATGAAATACAAAACTAATCTATATAACATTGGTTTAAGTTTACTTTTAGGTGATAAACCATTTTCGACAAACAACTGTAATGATATCAAGTCAAAATATTAAGATACGGATTCTATATATGCATTAAACAATGTTCATTAGCAGTGCCATATTATAATTGAAATAATGGTTGTAGAAAAAAGTAAAATCACAAAAATACTGACCTCCGAGGAAAATTCAAAAAGGAGAGTCCCTAATCAAATGGCAAAATCAAAAGCTCAAACACATATTATTGAAAAATTATGAAAAATGTTCATTGCATTTCCATCAAATATTTACTTAAGGCTACATTTGAATACTGTGCTGCCAACAACGGATTGATATTTATAAATCATTTTGTAGTTTTGGTATACATTCCAAGATTGGGTTTACAGAAATTTTGCGGTAATATAATATATTTGAAAATTAAAAGATAAAGAGTGACTCTTCTTCAATAAATGAAGAGAACTCTATAATGTTCTTGGCATAAGTTAAGTGTCCATTTGTAGTTAAAACAATGCATGATGAATAACGTTTCTGAGTCATGATTCTCCTATTAGATATGTACTTTATTAGATAAAATGGAAAGATATTTGTCTTAAATACATTAACGTTTCTGAGAACTGTGAAGACTCTTTAGATATGTACTTTATTAAATAAAATGGAAAGATATTTGTCTTAAATACATTTACGTTTCTTAGAACTGTGAAGACTCTTAAACAACACAATGGCATGTAATAGCTATAAGTTCCTTAGACTATTAATGATTTAATTATTCATTTGACATAATCATTTTAATAAAATCTTACACAACTGTATGCATAAAACATGTTATGTTCAAATGATTATGCGAATGTAAGTGAGATAGTAGATCTTTTATACATAAAACTCCGGTGCTTTTTGTTCTGTATGGGTATTGCATTTTTATATGAATTATTGTATGTATACATGTTCATAGATTTTTGTAAGACTTGTACAATAATATTAGTTTACAGGCAATGGATATATGAAAAACACTGAAACAAAATAGTCTTATCCTTGTCATTTCATGGATATTAAAATCCCATTCCTATATTAATATCTACATTTACATGTATGCATGTTTCACACGTAAAATTGATTTATAGTATAACATTTAGGATATCTTACGGCATATTTTGTTAATAGCGAACAAAAAGGTTAAACATGCTACACAGAAGAACAAGCGATCAGTTTGCTGGAGTTTCTTATTGATAACATATTTGTTGAATTTGGAGGTAGAATTTTTCAACAAATTGTCGGCATTCCTATGGGAACGAACTGTGCGCCTCTGCTTGCCAACCTCTTCTTATTTTCATATGATTCGGAGTTCCTTTAGACAATAGTCAAAAACAAGAAGATAAAAGAAGCCATATAATTTCACATTCAGATATATGTTGATGTTCTATCTATTAAAAAACAAACTTTTCTGATTGGGTTCCATTAATATATCTTCCATATCTAGAAATTAAAGAAACAACGCATGCGGCTTCATCCGCCTCATGTTTAGACTTATAATACAAGTGAGAGGTTTAACTAGCTATAAAACCAGGTTTAATCCATCATTTTCTATATAAGAAAATGCCTGTACTAAGTCAGGACTATGAAAGTTGTTATTGTTATTTTGCTTTTTGCAAATTGTAAAATGTAGCATTTTCAGATCTCTCAGGTACATCCATTCAATTTGCAGACGTTTTAAATTTTTCATTAATTGAAGGACATACATTTTTGTGTTGCTCTTTTCATAAAAATCAACTACATAATGATGTCATTTTTAGTGAGCAGGTTGTTACGTGTGTGCGTTTTATCGGATAAATCAGCTTCGTGTGTATTTACTTCCTATTTTCTGATACTTTGATTTCTAAGTGTTTGGATGCTCAAAACGACACCGCGGCGTTCTTGTGTGGTCTAAATTGACTTCTACAATGATAAGTCTTAGAATTATCTGATACAAAAAAATGACCACATTTTGTAAGAGCCGTATTTTTTATATACATTTTTTAAGATTTTCATTTAATTTTGTTTCAAGGCAAAATATTACCTGAATCATCGACTTTCAATAATGGCACATTCTTTTCATGTAATATACATGATATATGGTGATCTTTTGTATGAATCCATTGAAAAAAAAACACGGGGAAAATGTACAATATTTATAATGAATATTAGCTATAACACCTATTACATACATTGTTGATAACTGTTTCTACCGGTAAATATAATATATAAGTATTTGTTCTTATTACATGTATTAGGTACAATCTTATTATCTTTAGTTGTACTTTTATAACTTTATAACCAGATGTGTTAGTATAAAAATTGTGCTAGTGTTAGTATGAAAATTGTGCTTGTGTTAGTATGAAAATTGTGCTCTTGCCAAGTTTGGCATACATATATTTTTTTTAATTTATGCTGTTAATGTTAAATTGAATACATGGTGTTTTTATTCAAAAAAAGAAATATTTATCTGGATTAAGAACTGACTGAGTAAGTTTTGAAAATAATATGTGGTTTCATAAATCATTAGGTTATACATTTTAAACATATATTATACATTTGTTGTAATGCAACAATATTTCACAAATAAAAAAACATATATTTGTCTTCTTCCTTATTTACATATCGACAATCTTAAACAGTAAAAATTGATGAAAGTACGTTTGCTTCTGTTTTCATATGTATTGATATATCATTTATAAGTATTGAACAACTAAGACATTAACATGAAGATAAGAGTCCGTAGTTAAAGATTTATGACACAAAGATGGAAAGATACCAAAAGGGAAATTCAAACTCATAAGTCGGAGACATAAAAGCAAAGCCATTGCAAAAATGTAAAAAGGCAAAAAATATGAACAACAGTCTGAAAAAACACAACTTAGAAAACTGAAGCCTAAGCAACATGAGCTCCTTTAAAAACCAGAATGATCACGGATTCTCTGGAAGGGGACGCAAATCCTGCTCCATATGTGTTTCTCCTTGTGTTGCTCGCGTAAATACAAAGCATGTTATAAGTATATTTTGGCGATTTTTTATGCGAGGAAATGTGGACTGGATTATGGTAACGAAAATTAGACCATTACCATCATCATCTTTGAAACAGATATTCAGCACAGGTAAAACAACTCGTAATGTCGTCTGTAAAATTATAGAAGGGATCACTACAACTTCACCACGTGGAACATTTGGTTTGATTGCCCCCATGTAAGAAGCAAGCCTCCAATATATAGATATAAGACATTCCAGCTCTGAAACAAAGTATCAACTCGGTAATATATACTCCATATATGCAGTCACAGCTTGACTGTTAATCTATAGAAATAGAAAATCGCTCCTTGGAAGCTGAAATCAACTGTTGTGTCGTTAATTTTTGTTCTCTTCCGACCCTCATTGCAATCTTTATATGAGAGTCAAGATATGAGACTTAACTGTAGCTGTTATATCTTGAAATTATATTCGATGGGCTAGATGCGTTCTACATAGCCACCAAAATTTGAACTATTAAGTGGAAAGACAAGAAAATTATCAGAAGCGTTATCGTTGCAAAAAATAAGGTATGTTGAATTTGTGTGCTTGTACTTTCACACTTAAATGATATATTGACATATTTGTTTTACATGGAAATATAAGATACAACCTAGGTTTGCGGTTTGAGTTTTTTAATAACTTGTTTTAAGTATTCACGCAATTTCAGAAAACTTTAATTAATCGAATGTTTTCACAATCAAGAGCTACATTCTATAAACTTTTATCAATTTAGAAATCATTAAGAAACTAATATTTCACCCCTAGGCAAAATTGACCTTAGATGGCTTGAATTATTATTTTGGGGTCCTTTTTGTCATATAGCTATTCATTTGTCGATACCGCTGCTGGCGGACTATCAATCCCCGAGAGTATTACCAGCTCAGTAGTGAATTCTTTGGAACTAACATGATATTGATATATAACAAACCTTTCTAAAACTGTCCGGACATAAATATAGACATTATTACGAAACTAAGGTTTCAACTTTCTCCGGCAAAGATGACTTTGAATGAAAGTGACTATTATTTTTCGGAACATTTTGAATTTTGATCACATAGCTTTTCAACTGTTTCGGTTCTTATAAATCCTTAGATTTAACAATTTCGGGTTTAAGCTTTCCTGATGAGTTAATACCAAAAAAATGCTTCGGACCAATAAAATTGTTTTAATCTTTGTTTTCCACTGTGAATTCTGCATGTGTCTTCCTGTCTATCTATTGACGTATACAACGACTTAGCTTACTGTTTTCAGTCAATGTGACACTACAGAAATAAAAAAAAAAAGCTTTTTCAATAAAGAAAAAGAATACTGAGCAAAATTCAAATGTTTTTTTTTGTTTTCATTTTGCAGCATTTTACCTATAAATGGAGTTTTAGGTTAATATTACTCTTTAAGCAAAAAGCAGCAGTCGCAGGGACGACACATGATTCCTCGAAACCAATTATGAATGTTAAACTCTCCTGACTTAACAGGCCATGTCAGATTGATTCGTCCGTCGTCCTTTGGTAGTCGTACACGTTTTGACATATCTTTCAGAAATATTCCAGTAGTTAAATGATCAACACAACCAGATCTACTAATACGTCAACATGACTGTAATTATCATTTGACCCTTTAAGTAGGATTTTTTTTTACCAATGGTTATGCAGAATTTCCACCCATTTGAAAATTCAGTGTTCGCCTTAATAATTAATACATCAAACTCATTATAAAAAAGATCCGCATTTGGATGATATCATTTCGGAGTATTAGTTATCTGAATAATTGTAGTTATTCAAAAAGCAAGATTTTGCATGACCCCAAAACAGGAAATTTATATCTATATTACATTTTAGTTTGACGTCTTTTATGGACTGCAGATGCTGTGTGTTGCCATTGTACAAAACTCCTTTAAAAGTATGCGCAAAAAAACAAAAATAGAATTGACATGTCAATTATAAAATAAAATTCGGTAATTTTGAGGAATCCGTTGCAATATGCTGAGTTTACTTTCATATTCAAAACTGAACAATGTAAATTAGTTATAATTATATGAAGGATGAAAATAGTTTGACTGACACGTTTTTTTTATATTATTTTTTAAACAAAGGGAAGCAAATAATCAATATGTCGAAAATTGAATTACACATATAAAACAATAAGTTTTGTTGAGAACATTATATAGAAAATATTGATAATAAGTGGTTGTTTCCGTTATAGGTCATAGTATATGGTCTATTCAGTTTCATATGAAATTACTTTAAAATAAGGAAATATTTCAAAACTTGAATAAATATTGTCTATTCATTGAGTTAGGTAAAGTATTTTATAATCTCTCGCTTGTCTTATTTATTTATTCATGAATTCATTTGTTCGTTTTTTCTGTTATTATCATTTTTATTATCAATAGTAGTAATAGTAGTATGGTAGTCGTAGTAGTAGAGATTTACCATCAGACCCTGATTTTAGCGCGGTCACTACCTATCATAAAGTTTAACATTATTGGTGAATAACTGATTCACTTTTGCTTTACATCTAATGGCAAATACTCCATGCATGTTCAGAACAAGCTGCTCAATCAGGTGTCAAGTTTTGTTGCCAGAAACCCGTCTTGGCTACAAATTACTCATTGATGACTTTCTAATCAAATACGAACATTGCACAATACTGTTTCTTTTTTCGATGTTAATGCATGATATAGATAGACTTTTAGTATTACTATTTTGAAGTTTTAATTCTAAGTTTCTCTTTTAACAGATAAAATGGTGCATGGTAGGTACCTTAATGACAGATTGAGTTGTTTTATATGCATAGTCGCTATAGTTCAAGGTAAGTTTTATTGTTTTGATCTAAGACAAATATCTCATATACTTAAATTTCAACTAAGTTTACTCGAATGTCCTTTAGCCAACATCAAATATCAAAATCATCAAAATTAAGCGATGTATTTAGACACAACACTATAAATTTTATACAATAAGTTTTGTCTATAATCTTTTTTGACGCTTTTGAGTTTCAACAACTGTTTTTTTTTTTATCCTAACAAGACAATCAATTACAGTCAGTTCAGTCTATGTTCAGACTGTACAGTATATTTTACTCTCTGTACACATCAACAACATACCGATTTGTCTCAATAGTACTTAATTAACTGCACGGAAATTGGTTGAAAAGAATTGAACTTTCTTCAGAATCCATCAGGCTCACCTGATATTTTACCGTATCGGTATCAAAAGCAAAAGCAAAAAAGTCCTCTATCTTATATGTACCGTTATAAAGGTCTCTCGCTACCTTACCTGCTGATCAGAAATAACATTGAACTATGAACAAGATAGGTTGCTGTATTTAAAAAAAAGGCATACAGCAACGTGATCAATAGAACACATGTAATGCAAGTATTAAAAAAGTAAAAAATGTTTGTCATATTCAAAGAATGTATTCATATGTGAAACGTAGATAATAATTTACCACATGAATTATAATTTCATTTTATTTTTAGACTACTCGATTTAAAAAAAAACAATTTATCAGTAAATAATATTTCGTCATAGATGGATATGACACAATTGACACAGTTTAACATTCAAGATATATTACACTGTATATAATGCTTAAAGGCTATTCTGATAAAACATCATACACTTATATAAGATCCAAGACTACATACTGTTAAATGTAATACCCTTCCAAATTTATTTTCATAAGAAATATTCATGTTATGTGTTAAAACTGTTGTTTAAAGCGACGAGTAATGGGATCACCCGACTATCGGTTTATGCAAACATATAGTATTTTCACCGTATGTTTTTTTTTTTAAATATATATCAAATGACAGTGCTAGACTTAAGTCGCACCTTCATTAAATAGGTGTTTTTGTTACCATATGTTTTTTGCTTAAATGCACTTACAGTCAATTACAAAAGTAACTTTTGATACTTGAAAGGGACATAGAAAGCTTGATTTCATTATTGTATAGAGTATATTTAATGAAAATAAAGTTAAAAAATCTGGGTCTGCTTAGTTTTAAGACTGAAGTAAATGTTTTATCTGAAAGCTACAAAGAGAAACCTAGCAAAAATATAATTAACAATTAAACATCTAAAACTAACGACATTAAATTTGATTAATAACACACCTCCTTCCTGATACAATGCACCATTACAAACTTCTTTTATTTTTCCAAACAGTGTTTGAGAAATCTTTAGAGTAAGAAAAAAAACAATATTTTCTACCCAAGGGGAATTTATGTTGTATACAATAGAACGTAGCGGTACTGTGTGACGTAAATTTGTTTTACTGTCTTATAATCAAAATAGTGGCTTAGTGTTTTTATTTCTTTCATTTTTTTTTATGAAGAATGAGATTATAACTTAATCTCATAGTTTTAACATACATGACTTAGTATATATTAAACGTGTTAAAACTTGTATATTTTATTCAAGCATACCTTCTGTTCTATTATTCTAATTAAATTATAATATATTGAACAGATATTGGAGCACAAAACATCGTTTACTTTGAAAAAGGTGAATCAGTTGT